CCTTTTGCAGTATTTTTGGTCTGTTCTCATAGGATGAAAAGTTCTGAATGATCTAATGGGATTTTTCTCTGCAATGAGTAAAGTGAGATTTCTTTGGTTGCCAGGTGTGTGACCCACTCAGGGGAAGAATAAGCGAATTTATTGCAGGACATTTGGGCCAGCAGCTCTCACCATCCCCTTATAAGTCCCCTGCTTTTATCTTCTCCTGCGTCTCTGCTTGTCTCTGCATCTGCTATCTGAACCCCTTAGCTTCCTCTCTACCACCCTGCTGGCTTCTGGTTCCTACTGCCTCATCCCTTCAGCCTGCACAGACACAACAGCATTCATAAACTTGACTCTTCTAGGTTCAGCTCCCAGCTTGAACTGGAAAATTCCTCCCATGTTGCTCGTTCACATTCCAGAGGAACAGACTGATCAGGCCAGTTTGTGATTTCAAGCCAGATTACCCAGAGCTGGCGAGCTCGGGGCAGCTGTGGCCAGGATGGGGTTGTGTCATGTGGAGCCAAATGAGAACAGGGAAGAAGCAGGAAGACCGGGATATGGGTGAGCGAGACCGGTTCCACGGCCAGCTTGACAATCAGCCTGCTCCATGTGCCCCTATCTCTCCCCATAGGGCCTGGTGGAAACAGACTACAGAGAGCTTAGTAGCGGTCATTTATAGGTCACGTGAATGTTCCTATCTCCAGTGATAACAACTCTTAGAAGATTTCAAAGATTTGTAGTAAAGGCATAAAAAAGGTCACCTCTTCTTTAGTAGTAAAAGTAAAAGAAACTGTGATCAGAAGAAGCAACAAGTGATGGCAGTGGGTAATGTATGAGAGACAAGAGAAAATAAAGGGACTCCGGAAAAGCGGTTTGAGACAGAATATGCCGCCAGGGAGGTCTTTCAATACTATACCCTAGAGATCCACAGCTGCCCCTTGTTCTACCTTCCTCTGCTCAGTCACAACCTGGACCTGGGTTAGGTCCCCTAGATCAATACTTTAGGTACCTTCTTGCTCCAGGAGCACATGGAGCAGGCTGATTGTCAAGCTGGCCGTGGAACTGGTCTCGCTCACCCATACCCCTGTCTTCCTGCTTCTTCCATGTTCTCATTTGGCTCCACATGACACAACCCCATCCTGGGAAATTTGCCACCATTTATGACCTTGTTCCTGTATAAAAATGCCTCCTCAGGGGTGAACAACCAATTGGCTCACAAATGGACTTGTGGAGCATAATTGCTGCTCAAATTGGGAGCTGCCTACAAATAGAAACCTGGGACTTTCCCTTGGGAACCTATAGTTACCAGAGAATCAGCAAGTCTTAGAAGGAAGCTTCCGCTCCCCTTTCCCACAACCTACTTTGTTCCCAGGAAGAGAGGCTCCCAGGGTTTAGTGAGGTAGCCATGAGCTAATAGATATTTTCATGGTTTCCTATAAGGGATTAAAAATAATTCCAAATATTGGGGCCAAAGTGATAAAAGAGTGGGAGCTGCTCTTTGGGGAGAGAAAAGGCAGCCATGTCTCCGCCCTTCTGCTTCTTCCTAGCTTTTGGGGGAGAGAGGCAACCTTCCCCTCTCCTTTACTCCTTTCTGTGACCACTCCCCCAAGAGGCTAGTTATGTCAGAAGGGTGGGGTGATGCTGGCTAGTGAAGAATGTGCTAGGTAGCTTTAGGCCAAAAGAGCTCAAATTTAAATATGATCAGAAACACCTGGTGAGGTGGTAAATAATCCAGACCCTCCCCTGGAATTTGGTCAGCAGGTCTGGAGTATGTGCCCAGGAACTTGTACTTTTAAACTTGTACCCTGATTCTGGTGCAGTTAGTTCATGTATCGTAGTTGAGAAAGAAAGCTGGGCCCTGGGGAAGAATTTGGTTCACCTGCAAAAATAAAGTGTATGTGTGTGTGTGTGTGTGCACTTGCCCTGCTTTAGTTCTGGGCTCCAGGAGAGTCTCTTAACCAAGCAAAAGGATTTGCTCTCACCTGGCTCAGAAGAGCCCAATATTTGAGTTTGGGCCAAGGCCAAGTAAGTAATAGCTCCCACTAGCGAGGCCACCGGCCTCTGAGCCAGCATTTCCTGGGTAGAGCAATGGTTCTCAACGTTACTGCACATTAGAACTCCCTGGGGAGCTTTAAAAAATACTGATGCCTGGGCCCCCCTCCCAGAGAGTCTGGTTTCATTGGACTGGGTACGGTCTGGACATTTAGGATTTTTTAAAAGCTCCTTGGGTATTTCCTACGTGCAGCTAAAGATGAGAACCACTGTGGTAGGGAAAATGACTTTTGCTTTCCTAGAGCCCTGGCTAAAAACAATCTTATATTGCCTCTTTAACATGATGGACACCATGGAAGAGTTCTTGATATTTGCATTTCTGTAAGGAAAAACAAAAAAATATCAACAATATGTAAAAGGTAATATTTTGAATTGTGGTTACCTAAGAACATAGTCAAGGATAATGAAAATATTCTTAGTATGACTTCCTTTGTCCTTTAGCAAGAAAGAAAGGCATAGTACGGTATAAGTCATAAATCTCTAAAGTATTTCAGAGATAAAGTCACTTACAACACTTGTAGGCTTTAAAAGCTTTCCCTAAAGAAACAGGAAAGTGTTAAACCTTTATGCTTTCTTTCTCTTTTTCCTGAGACCTGGCTGATCAGATTCATAGTTGATGTAGATACAATATTTCAAGAAAATCTATTGCTAGAAATAGGTGAATGAATTCAACAGCAAATGCTATCAGTGGACTATAGCTTTTGAACAAATGGCCATCTGAATTCTGATCACTAGAGGAACAATGACCTTATTAAATCTGTTATATTCTGATACACTCACACTAGCAACTAGTTTAAGCTATTTGTTGTTGTTTTTGTAACAATCGGGTGTATTTGGATTTTGTGAAAATTAAACATATCTTTTGTCTAAATACAGTGCAATATTATATTTAAGGATGATGGCATTTATCTTAGAAACAGGCTCCTTGGGGCTATGTCTGAGCTAGATTAGATTTTTGCTGAAAAGTTTATGAGACTGTGAGCACGTGTTCAAATTGGGGCTTCTTGGAAAGAGAAATCCATGGAAATTTGGGGAGGTTCACATACTCTCTGAAACTACTTGTCTAATTTTAAATGTATACACTTAGTTCTGTTTCTTTTAGGAGAAGGTCCATACTTTTATCAGACTTTCAAAGGGTTTATAACCACCAAAGGTTAGGACCCAGAGCTCCATGCACTTACACTGAGCACCCTTCACTCTGATCTCCTTCAATGCAGTGTGCTATTGATAACAGGATGTAGACAAGGAAAAATATTATTACATGTTGCTCTTCAGCCCTGCTCTTCTCTGGGCCAGGGTTATAGATGTTTCTGTGAGGTACTGACAGCCATTATGTCTTAGCTCAAGTTGATTTGCTATAAATGAGCATTGGAAGGACCAGCAGTGGCGGGGAATCTAAGTTTTGTTTCTTTTGCTGTAGCTTCCATGCCATTCCAGGAAGAGTGGGCAGTTTTGATCAGCCCGGAAAAACGATAGCGGGTGCCGTTTTCTGATTACAGGCAGAAAGTAAATTTGATATTTTCCCACCTGACTCCTGTTCCTGCATCTAATTAGATAGTGTCAGCTTGAGGGGGTCATTGTCAAAGGCTGCAAATGCAGTACAGGTGGACCTCCCTTTAATTATGCTCAACATCGAAATTGTGGCTTTTCTCAAATAATAGAGTGATGACTTGATTAAAAAAAATTACTTTAGATAGAAAAAGTTTCCTCAAAATATATTCAACGTACAAATACTAACTCTAATTCCTTTTTGGGAATATAAGGAAATAAAGTTTTCTTCTAGGTGAGTGACATTTAGCCTCATTATGGGGAGGAATGCCATTTTTGTTAAAACATTAATTTTTAAATAAAATTTATATAATATTATATATTTTCATCTTTTCAAAACATTAATGTAGGGCAGTTATGTTGGTAAATTTTCCCCTGGTGTGGGAAATGTAATATGTGAAGTTAACTTTTTATTATTATGGCTAATTCCAAAATATATTACCAGCATACAGTAGTTTTCATGGGGATTTAAGGAGTGCTAAATACTTTTGTACATATTTATATATAAGGCTAAAGTATCATATTTTTGTAAGCTTAAAGTAATAATAATAGTTTTAGCTTTCAGGAAAGTTAGTTTGCACTTGCCTAAATAAGAAGAAAAAGAAATTTTATTTAAGATTGAGAAAATAGCCGTAGCCGGTTTGGCTCAGTGGATAGAGCGTCAGCCTGTGGACTGAAGGGTCCTGGGTTCAATTCCGGTCAAGGGCATGTACCTGGGTTGCGGGCACATCTCCAGTAGGGAATGTGCAGGAGGCAGCTGATCGATGTTTCTCTCTCATCGATGTTTCTAACTCTCTATATCTCTCTCCCTTCCTCTCTGTAAAAAATCAATAAAATATATTAAAAAAAATATTTAAGATTGAGAAAATAGTTTTCTTTCATTTGAATTATTGGACTCAATGCAAGATAATTCTTTTCATGTCATAGATATGGAAATACCTACATGTTTAAAATTGTCACTACTGCCATTTTTAAATTTGAGTGACCATCTAAAATTTAGTGTGTATTTGCTTTTGGTTTTCTAATCAGTTGTTTGACCCAAGCCCTTTTCAAAGAGAAGTGGCAATGTCTCACCCTTCTTTAAAGAAGATTCCAGTCACTTAAACTTAAAAATGACAATAAATTAAGCTACTGGTGGCTTATGTTCTTGAACAACAACAAAGGCAGCTAAAGATTTCTTCTCTCTAATGCATGAGAAATGCTGATTTCTTCAAAATGTTTCAACCTTTAAAATCCCAATAACTTTCTTCATTATAGATCTATGACTGCGGTGGCAAAAATAAAAACAAATCAATTCAAGTTTTCTATTTGCAAATTATAAATGAACATGACTGATTATAGAATTTGTAAAAATTGAATATTAATTCTTGAGGGTTCTATTGTAAGTGATATTTATCCCCATATGGAAGAGTGTGGATTTAACAAAAGTTATCACAAGAGCATTTTAAACCACATTAATTTTTTTTGGTAGTTTCATACTATTACCATTTCAAGATCTTTGATAGTGGGATGTCCAGATAAAATGCCCCCTGTGGTTTTGGATTACAGCCTGTAGAGTGTACGCTCTTTTAGCTTACAAAGTTTAGAAAGAAATCCTGAAATTTGAATATTTTTTTTAAACAATCCATATTTTTATTTAATTCCAATCCATGTTTTTTATTTAATGAAAATTGCTATCATGCTTTCCCCCCTAGTCCTCACTGATGTTCTTTGGGGGGATGCTACCCTGACCCATTCTTTGAAACAAATTATATAATCTAGCAAGTCACATATCAACCAGCCCTTAGGTTGGAGCAAGCCCTCGCAAATATTTTTCAAACTACCTGTCTCCATCCTTTCCTTCTGAGGTAGAACTATTGTGAGTGTGATGAAAAACACTGCCTCCTAAAAGGGCCTGACTGCTCTCAGATTCTGTGAATGGAATGGGCGGAGAGGATTAGTACAGCCTTCAGGTATTAGCTATAGGGGCGAAAGCCTCTGTAAACCTCCTTCAATTGGGTTCCTGATGTGAGAGTCTGGCCTCCGCCAGCCTCTGGTACTTGGACCCTGGCCTTGCTAGTGATAGCCACAGAGGGCCGTGAGGCTCAGCTGGTCATCACTGGGCGAGGGAGTGTCAGGATCGCTGTAGATCTGAGTCAGAGCTAAACTCAGGATTTCTTTCTTCTCTTTGTAAAACCGTAGTTCTTGTCCTGCTTTCCTGGCTTCCTCCAGCTCCCTCAGAGCCATTCGCAGCTCTTGAGACAGAATTCCTGGAGACTCCCGCTCCTTCATGATCCAGTCCAGGGCCATGTGGCTGCGCATCTTTTCATCCAGCGAATACTGGGAATAGTAGGAGATAACTTCCTGGGGGCCAAGAGACAAGATCCTGAGTGTCAGTAAAGAGCACCGAAGGCACCTGTGTTCATGGCCTCCCGACGCCTCTTTTCCTCTGCCTCCACCCCTCCTCCATATCCAACCATTAGGCCTCTTTGATGTTCACAAACTGAAGCCAAGTCCCATGACATACTTCTTACAGAAAATGAAGGACTAAGCTGGTACAGCAAAGCAAAGTTACTCCAGGTTGAGTCAAAACACGAACACCAGGAAGACTCAATAATATTCACAAAATAGAGGCCCGACCTCGGTAGAAAATGTGCTGTTAGCATAAGGAAGATGACAGTCTAAATCTCTCACAGAAACGATGGTAATAACTTTTAAAATGTACTATGGAATGTAGGCATTCTCATTATTGATATAATGGTACCTTCATGTACATGGTCTCTTACTTCTGTAAACAACTAAAAATTAGTCACTAACTGTCAATTCTCGTGTGAAAAATTTGCCAATGCATTGTAACATCATGTGTAGGTTTGATGGAGACACTTTAAGAAGATCTTGTGGAGTGGATGCATTGCTTATTTTTATTTTCAGGAACATATGGTATTTATTTATGACCTTAACAAATTAAAAACAATCATGGAAAAGTGTTTATAACGAACCCCGGATATTTCAAAGGCCTTTTGTAAAATCAAAGGAAAAGGAAAAATAACCAAAGCCATTGTCAGCTACTCATTTCTTTTCCATCCTTGACATTTTGAAAGCCAGGCTTTCTACGCAAAGAACAACTAAAAGCTCCTGGGGCCTCAGTGCATGGTAATGCTTACATCCACCTCTCTTGCTGACTAGTAGAGGCTTTGTTCCTCAGGCAAGTTCCTGTTAGCAAACTCTTAAAAATAAACTCCCATCTTTCAAAGTCTAACAGTGGGTAAAGAAAGGATAAATCTTGGAGGATAGTGGGTGAAAACCATTAAGTACACAGGAAGGAGTTTGCCTTTGTCTTTAAAAAGGGGGTGGGGGGAGGGCAGGGTGCTTCTCATAGGTAGCAAAGAAATAGTGAGACCCTGTCTCTGAAAAATAAGAAGAAATTTCCAAACCAAAAAGTTGGGGTGATTGGATGCCAGCTTGCCCACTTTTACAAGCATTTCTGTTGCCGGTTGGGGACTTTTGGTGGCTGTGAGAAAAGTCCTGTTATCATCAACTTTACCTCCCCTCACTGCAGAGGTCCCCACGCAGTGCACTCTGAGGTTTCCTTCCACACTGCAGAGCGGAAGAGAGCGCACACTCTAACAGGCAGGGCAGGTACATGTATTCCACAGTTGCCTTAGAAATCAAGTCTGTCTCAATAATCCCTTCATTTGGCAGCATTCAGTACAAGTATCTAAATCAGTCCTATGCCTAGTCAATGTTTTTAGTATGCATATTTGGTCAGTGCCTGACTCAACTGGATTGAGATATAGATAGATAGATAGATAGATAGATAGATAGATAGATAGATAGATAGATATAGATATAGATATATAGATATATACACACTAGAGGCCTGGAGCATGAAATTCATGTGAGGGTACAGTCTCTAGACCTGGCCTGCAATCAGAGTCATCTTCCCCAGCTGCCTGCAGCTGGCCCCGCCCCCTGCCACCACCCACCCCCAGTTCCCCATTTGCCATCGGGCAATCAGAGCCTGCCGGCCTGGGGGAGGGACCAAGAGGTCGGCCGTTCCTGCCCGATCACCCGCCCCACCCCCACAGTGGGTTGTCCTTTCTGAGTGGGGCAACTGGCGTGGCGGGGGCCTTGGCCTGGTGCTGCCTGCGTCCCCTGCCACCCATCCCTGGTACCCTGTTCACCATCGGATGATCAGAGCCTGCCAAGTGGGGAAAGGGACCGAGGTGGTCAGTGTGCCTCATAGTGACTGGTCGAGTGGTCATTCTGGTTGATCCACCATTAGGGTCAATTTGCATATTACCCTTTTATTATATAGGACTAGAGGCCCAGTGCACGAAATTCGTACATGGGTGTGTGTGTGTGTGTGTGTGTCCCTCAGCCCAGCCTGCACCCTCTCCAATCTGGGACCCCTCGAGGGATGTCTGACTGCCTGTATAGGCCCGATCACCAGGATTGGGCCTACACGGGCAGTCGGACATCCCTCTCACAATCCAGGACTGCTGGCTCCCAACTGCTCACCTTCCTGCCTGCCTGATTGCCCCTAACCGCTTCTGCCTGCCAGCCTGATCACCCCCTAACCACTCCCCTGCCAGCCTGATCAACGCTTAACTGCTCCCCTGCCGGTCCGATTGCCCCTAACTGCCCTCCCCTGCTGGCCTGGTCACCCTAACTGCCCTCCCTTGCCAGTCTGGTCCCTCCCAACTGCCCTCCCCTGCTGGCCATCTTGTGTCCACATGGGGGTGGCCATCTTGTATGTTGGAGTGACGGTCAATTTGCATATTACCCTTTTATTATATAGGATAGTTATGCATATTTATTCATGTGTCCTCTGCTCTTAATAAACAAAGCAACAAATTTAACAGGAAAAAGTCCAAATAAAGGAAACCTCCTCGAGATATCATGGCCATCTGATCTGTCTGTTCAACACAAGGCCATTCTGGATGGTAAAACCTCACCTGTCGGGAACACTTTGTTTCGCGAAGGGCTTTTAGGCTCCCATTCCAGTGTAGTAGTTGGAAAATGGTCATCAGCTCCTACAAAACCCAAACACCTGTCATTAGTCTCAAAGCAGAAACGTGAAAAAAAGTGCCTCAGTGAGAGCTGAGCAGGGCGTGACTCTGACCCCCAACTATGTCAGGGAAATAGGATACACAAGATTGTCAGGACACTTTGAGACTTTCAAACACCAGAGTCCCAGGCTTCTGGAGCATTCTTCCTCTTCTCCCCTGCTATATCCATATTTGCACAAAAAAATGGCTTAATAATTTATAAATATCTTTCAACATTAAAAAATATCTAAATAGACCAGTGAATCTGAGAATAATTTATAGGCATCGCAACTTTTGAAATTGCCTGAGAACTGGAAATATCTCAAATGTTCATTTTTAAATGAATGGCTTAATAAAGTATTGAAGGACAGCAGAATGTGCCATCCAAAATATGAATTTAGGACATGACACCACAAAATATCCACTTTGGTATATTGATTATTTTGAGCTAAAGGCACTTGAAAAACAGCAAATGTAGAGAGAGAGAGTCTCTCTGAGCTCCTCTTATCTAAGACACATCCTCCAAAAGGCACCTGGTTGTCATAAGTCCCCCCCCCCCCCCCCAGAGTTTCACTAACCTGGGAAGGCAAACTCATCACAGAAGAGGAAACTGGAAGTCCACACCACACCCACACAGGCTTTGTCACATTTATTCTTCTAAGTGCCCATTTATCTTTCTTTAAAGTTACCTACTTTCCCTAAGACACCTACATCCCCTTCCTCTTTCCCTATTATGATGGTATTTAATCCTGAATTCTATGCCACCTCAGGAGGTACTCATTTTTCCCTGGGTCTTTCTCATGTATGCACGGGGCATACATGTTAATAAACGTGTTTTTCTCTTGTTAATCTGTCTTTTATTACAGGAGTCTTAGCTAAGAACTCAGAAGTGTTCAGGGAAAATTACCTTTCCTCTCTTACAATACATTCACACCACTGAATATGGTGCAGTCATAAAGAAAGGATGGGAAGGCTCTCTAGGTTCTAATGTAAAGAATCTCTGTGATGTATTGTTAAAATAAAATAAAATAAAAGCAAAGTGCACAACCTGTATACTGTGTGCTACTAGTTGATAAAAACGGAATAGGAAATCTTGATAAATATTTGCTTGTAAATGCCTAGAAGAGTTCTGACAAGATACAAAAGAATTGGGTAATATTAGTTGCCCCTTGGGAGAGAGCAGGGATGCCTGGGGACAGGAGTGGGAGGGAGAACTTCCTCTGACATTCTTTTGCACCTTTTGAGTTTTGAATCATGTGACAACATTACATATTAAAGAAAAAATTAAATTAAAAAAATCAGGACTAAAAAATAAATATAAAACATATAATAGGCAAACTATAAATACTGTAAAAATACTCCCAAATTTATAAATTCAGTCAAGAAAATTCCTTAAAATATGAACAATACAGTAGAACTGACATTAAAATACACCCACCATGGTCAGGGCCTGAGGTGGGGGGTGGGGGTGGGCTGGATGGGATCGATGGGGGGGGTGGGGGGGGGAAGGGGACATATGTAATACTTTCAGCAATAAAGATTAAAAACATTATACCCACAGTTTCCAATGGCCAGTGCTGAGCACAGCATTATACTTTCTATGAGCTTCATCCTTGCCCTGCAAGGTATCAAGGGCAAGCTAAAGGGAATAAACGTGCTGATGATTTTATTTCTCTAATGTGATTAGAACTGGCAGTCTTCCATTGACGTTATCTTCTTTTCTCTTCTTTCCTTTCCTTTCCTTTTCTTTTTGGTCAGAGACACATTTATTTTGGATTAATACCACAAACCACAACCTTATAATGATCAGAAAATAACAACACAATTAAGGAACTTCCTGGTCATGAAAACCAGTTATGAAAACCTTACATTTAGACAGATGTCCAACTGCCCATTCAAAAAGCTGACTTTCACTGTCTTTACCTCATAATAAAAAAGTTTTCATTATGAAAACCGGGAGGCACAAAGTCATTCTGGGATTTCAGACATCTTAGGATTATTAGGTAAATTTTAAAGCTATAAGGTAAGCAGAAGAGCAAATAGCACTACTATCATGTTGAAAATTGCCATTAGACTGTAATGTGTTTCTTCTTTTCAGTTTGGGATCCAGTTTGGGATTTTGTTCCTCTACACAGTAAGCACCCCCAGAGACTTCAGTAAAAGCAAAACTATCTGTTTTTATTCATTAAAATCCGACGTGCAAATCAGCAGAATTACTCCTGCCCCAAATGCAGAGCCCACCGCCTGCCCAGGGCCCTGGGTCCAGCGCCAGGGAGGCTGCCCCTCTCATGCCTGCTCGCCTCCACTTCTCCCTGCCCCACTCCAGACTTTCACTCCGTCACATCACTCTGCTAATTTGGAAAGTGACGGTGGTTTGTTCTATAACCACAACCAAGTCTTGCCTAACCTCGCTCACAACATCTGTTTGCTGTTCACTTACTTACGCACTCATTGGTTGATTCTTGTATGCGTCCTGATTGGGGATAGAACCCACAACCATGGCGTATTGGGAGGATGCTTTAACCAAAGCTACCCGGCCAGGTAAATGTTTATTTTTTTAAAAAGAAAATAAATACCACTTCCACTCCTCCACCTGCGCTCCCCACCCCCCCGTCTTCATGTAAAGTTGACACCCCAGAAGATACACTGAGTTTATTCCGTGGCTCCAATAGCCCTGCTGGCATTGTCCTTACTCCCTTGTAGCACAGTTTGAGAAATAGCGTATTGCTAACAGGGATCTTATTCCATGCCCTGACAACTGCTGCCTGATAACACATCTTCCTCCAAGGCCTACAAGGCTCTCACTCTTATCTTACACAAAGCCCCTTTCCCGATAAATTCCCATCATTCCATATGGCAATCCCCCTAAGACTTTAGAACCCACAAATTCTGCTGCAAACAGAACCAGACCTTTCTTACGTACCTTGGCAACCTACATCTCTCAAAAACCCCGAGACCTGAACTGTTTTTTGCCTGCAGGACGAGGGTCACCCTCCTCACCCGCTCTGGTTTATCTAAATTTCTGATCCATCACCAAGCATTTTTTTTCCTCTTCAAGTAACACAAGCCCCTCTTCCTCAGTGTTGCTCTTGTTTCTAAAATCCTTCAGGGAAAATGACCTTCTTTCTGCCTTCTTCCATTATGTTGCCATCTAATTCTTCCCCTCCTCGTAGACATATTAATCTTGCTATCATTATGTGGATAGTTCCACATTCTTTCTGTCCCAATTCTTTATTTCCCCTCATAAGACCAAGTTCACTCTCTTCAGATCTTCCTGAAGCTGCATGAGCCCTGGGCTTAACCCAGGAAATCTTTGTGTGCCTCCCATTGATTCGTTCCATTGGAAATCCTGGCATGGCTGCAGACTGGCTAGGAGAGGGCCGCTCCCTCGTTTCACCAGGATTCCTTGCTGCTTGGTCTTCCAGACCTGTTTCCTACCTGTCGAAGTCCTGTCTCTTTAAAGGAAGCCTGTTCCATGAGCTCTATGTCCTGTTCCTCACAGGAGTTTCCTGCGGGGCTAACGGCTCTGTGGACTGATCTAGAAACCTGGGGAGTCTGGGCATCCTGAGAGATAAACAAGCAGCTGGCCTGAAGGTTGGGTTGGGACTAGGGTCGGGTAAGTGAAGCAAGCTTAAGCTGAGTCATGCAAGTTCAGGGTCTTTTATTTAAAATTCTGTCATTATTTAAAATTTTGACATTTTGTCATGAATATTTGCACGTTTTGACTTTATACAATATTGTGTTATACTACTACTCATCTTGATTACTGAGGTTTTTGACACGCCTTTAAATTTCGTGCATGAAATGAGTGCCTAACTCTTCTCACCCGGTCTGGACACTTCTCATGGGTCTGTCTCATGGTCAAGGCCAGCTTTGTGAGCTTGCGATCTGTGCAGTCACCTAGGATCTCGAGCTTGGCGTAGTGATCCACTGCCTTTAATAATTTATAAGTATCTTAGTAGTTTTTTAACAAAAGGCCCTGCATTTTCATTTTTCCATGGGCCCCATAAATTATGTAGCTAGTCCTGATCAGCAAAGTAAAATTAAAATAAAGTGGAAAAAATCAAGCCTTGTGTGTTTTTTTCTCTTCAGGGAAAATTCACAGCTTTCTTGGTTCATTTTGTCATTCATTCCATTTTAACCAACTACAACTGGGCTCTGTCCTCACAGTGCTTCCTGGTATTGCCTCCTGGTAGAAACACTGGGCCTTCAACTGCTATGCGGGGAGGTGGGGAAATGCACACTGTTTCTCTCTGGAACTATGTCTGGGAGACTGGCTTGGTTCTGTGATTCATCAGAAATAAGAAAAACAAACACTATAAATGGAGAACTTGAAAAACAGGTGGGCACCATCTCCCCACCCAAGAGAATGGATTTAAAAGGAAATTTGTTTATGAGATGAGGTTTTAAAAAACCAACCTGGAGAATTTAGCAAAGATGTAAATAAACAACTCGTCCTTGGATTGCATTAGGCTGCAGAATAAATATATTAACCAGCGTCAGTCAAAGTCTGCCACGAACCTGACCTTGACAAGACCCAGTGGCTAGTGCTGTCACCATCCCTCCCCCCAAACATCAGGCAGTTTTCTCTAAGGCAAGGCTACCTCAAAACAGGCATCCAGGCTTCCCTCCCAAGTGAAGGTAAGCAGAAGCCTATCAGGTTTCCTCTGCTCCCTGCCTCCTTGACAGTGCCCCTGGAAAGCCTGCGGGCAGTCAGGAGACACCAGCCTTGTTTTTATATGGTGTAGTCTATGGGTAAGCACACATCTATTACCCACCAGGGGTACTGACTGCTGGGTCGACTGTGGTCAACTCCCATCATGTGCAGAAACAAGCTGATGCATTTAAGCCCGGCCACCCAGGAATGTGCAGGCCCCGCAGGCAATAGAGCTGGTGGGGAAGAAAGGGATGTCTATGCTCCAGGCCCTCCTCCTGGGTTGCCAGCATCCCTACTGGGGAGAGGGATTTTGGATTTTTCCTGTCCTCACATCTTCTTCTTCCTTCCTCTGTACCCCATCCTGTTCCCAACATCCCCTCTGTGAATTTATGAAGCATTTCCAGCAGGATTAAAATTATTTCACATATTTAAATCTCTTACAACACAGACCTCACAAGAAAACACAGCCTATACCAAGGCAATTAAAGTATTACTGAAAGGTGGTTAGTATAGCCTTTCATAGTAGTTGGATGAAATTTTAAGAAATAAAAAAGAAAATCTTGCCTCCTATCTTTGGCAGACTAACTCAATGGCATTCAAAAATCATTCTTGGCACTGAGGGCGTGCCACCTGCCTCCTCACCTTCCCCAGCCTCCTCACTCCCTGCCGCTCCCAGCCCACACCATGATCAAGAAGCCCTCATCCTCTCTGTTTGCTTCTTCCCTCGATTCTCCCACACCTAGACGTTGACTCAGACACAGACATTTCCAGTGTCTCAGAATTACAGGCTGAACTAACACCAACCACTGACCCAGAGTCACCAATGTCCTGATGGTGCAGAGTGGACCACTGAGGATTGCTTAGAGAATACACAAGTTTGGGAATTGTCTACGGTGTGGAATCAAACACCTCCAGCTCTGTGGAAGAATCCACTGAGGAGGCCACAGTGAGTGTCACTGGTGATTATTTGGAAGAGCCATGACTAGAGTGCCAGAGGAGCCCAGCACCTCCACAGAAAGCGATGAGGTCATCATCTCAGCGCTTGTTTAAAATGAAGAGAATTCTCCATTAGCTGTGATCTTTGCTCTGCTAACCACAACTGTCTAAGAAGATTCTGAGCTTCTGCACAAGCCTGCTACTCCATTATAGGAGTGTGAATAGTTGTAAAAAACTAGTGAGCCATAGGATGTACCCAGTGGTACAGTGCAGGGAACTGTCCACAGACAGAGGGGGCACATTCCTTAAACATGTCCCATTTAATATCGGGTCAATAAATGTTTGTTTAAAGTGAAAAAATATCATTCATGATTTTCTGAAAATAGATACTAAATCATATACAAGCTACTAAGTACTGAGGCAGGCAACATTCATTCTATAACAAAAGAAATGTAATATTTTTTTTGTCGGGATCGATAGGGGAGAAAATTTTAAAAATGAGGTTCTTTGAGAAAATCACTATGCTAGACACTTTATAAATGTCATATTATGTAAGTCCCACAAAAATCCTATACAATGGGCATTATAATTCTTATTTTATACATGGAAAGCTGAACCTCACAATAGTTCTGTTCACAGGTGGAAAGTGGTAGAGCCAGCTTCACATACAAGTCTTTAAAAGTTTGCCCTGACTGGTTTGGCTCAGTGGATAGAGCGTCGGCCTGCGGACTGAAGGGTCCCCGGTTCGATTCCGGTTAAGGGCATGTACCTCAGTTGCGGGCACATCCCCAGGAGGGAGTGTGCAGGAGGCAGCTGATCGATGTTTCTCTCTCACTGATGTTTCTAAGTCTCTATCCCTTTCCCTTCCTCTCTGTAAAAAATCAATAAAATATATTTAAAAAAAAAAGTTTGTGTTCTCTCTCCTGTGTTATGATCCTCCCTTTATTATTTTTTTTGTTTGACTTTAGATTGTTACTGGGGGTAAGGGAAGTACCCTTTATAGTCCCACCTTTTTATTCTACAGCAAGGACCCTGAAATGTTCATGCAGGGAAGTGACCCTGTCCTCATCTGAAACCTTTAGTTTATATAAAATTGTCAAGAGAATCTACCCAGTAGCCTCCAACATAAAGCAGTCCTTCTTCAGAAAGTTACATAATAAAGGTTGTTAATCTTCATTGAGCATTTACAATATGCCCGGAACTGTTCTGGACTCTTTCTATATAGTCCCATTGGATCCTCATAATGGTACTGTGAGGAAATGCCACTACTATTATGCTCCCTGATTTATATGCAAATGAGGAAGCAGGTTCAGAGGTGAGAAGGCCAGCCAGGCTGAAAGGGACCAGCCCCTCTAAAGCCTGGGCTCAGAACCAGAAGTAGGTCTGGGAGACAGAGGATGTTTATGGTAAGAGTGGCATTCTCCCAGGCTTTTAGATTGTGTAGCAAAATAAACAAGTGGCAGGAAGTCAGGCACCTGAAATTCCAGCATGGTCTTCCCCATATTGGACTCCAGCATGTAGTGATAGGCGCCGATGCTGGTGCTGGGGTCGTCAGCGTCGTCCAAGGTGCCCTTGGGAAGGAAGCAGAAAAGGGAAGTGTTACGGATGTTCCCTCCTCTTCTTTGGGTGATCACAAATTAATACCGTGGCTCTACAGTACCTTCTATTGGCCTAACACTGCAGGTGTGTATTCCACAACCACGTCTCCAGTTGATTTGGCATAAAATCCTTAATCTCTCCACGATTCAGAGGAAAGAGGATTGTGTAATCAATTTGAATCTGGTATTCCATTAGATTGCTGGCTGATTATATCCTCACTAAAAGAATAATTATCCCAAAGCAGAAATTCCTGTGCCCTCGCACAGGGTTTTGTTGATAGTGGCGTTAATGTTCTAGTGGTTGCCCACTTAGGCTGTCTGCAGGTGTTATTGGAATCTTGCAATGATGACCTTGTTCTGGTTCCAATGATAACCAGGCAAGATTATGTAACTGACAGGGAAAGAATTCTTCAGTTGTATGGACCATTCATATTTTACTGCCATGATTCTTAATGGGAGCTTTTCATAATATGCTGGTGTTCAGCCTGGAGACATGGATCTTGGTTTATATTTTTTTACTTCCGGATCACTTAATCTCCAGCAATCAAGGTGGGTGGGTGATGTGTAGAAATGGAATTCTCCTTCAATTTGGTTAGGGGGAGTGGCAATAAAAAAGCTAACATAAGGTCTGGGGCCTGCCCTTCAATATCCCCTGGTCTTGGATTCCTGAGAAGGTGGGCAATGACTTTGTGAGGCTGAACATATGACTGCCAACATCAGATAGCAGCAAATTTATAGCTTTTGAATGCAATAACATTAACACTGCTGCTGAAATATTTATGTTGGCTTTTTAAATATCCCAGAGGAAATCCATCCAGAAGCCTGCAAATCTTATATATTTTCTTTCCTTAGAAATTTCCATGAAAAAATGATAAATTACATTTACACTGAGGGCCCCTCCCTGCTCCTGAGTAAATGCCACACATAGAAATCAGGCATCATTTTTCTAACTTCTCTTCCTCAAAGGCACTTGAAATGTGCAGGGCAGCGAAACAAAGGCTTCCTTTCATCCTCAGAGCAGATATGGAACAGAGCTCCTGAGGTCTCCAAGCCAGGTCAGCCACCCTCTGCCCCTCCTTCTCTCTCTTCTGTGTGATAAGAGCATTTATGAGATGAAAGAGAAGGAGAAAAAAGGTAACTGCTGGTGTGATAATGTCTCCTTCATTGTCAACAGCTTCTCCAGAATGACTGAACCTTTACAGTAAGATTGAAGGAATCAGAGAATGAAAATCTCAGGTCAGATTTATTCATGCTAAAGACAAGCCAGGAGTTGACTAGCCCCTTTGGCAAAGCCAACTTCCTGCCCTTGGAGGACATACAGGGAGACAACTACCACAGCGGGACCCAAGGCTTCCTCCATGGCTTATGGTTTGGAGGTATCAAGGATCAGTAGCTCCACATAATTCATGGGGTAACTCGCCTACGCCTGCATCGCTGAGAAAACATCCTATCTAAATTTCTAAGACAAAGTGCTTTGCTCATAAGCACTTTATATTTAGTTATGTCCATTACAAACATTTTCAAAGCCCTCTGAAAGAAGTAATTGATTAAGCATGACAATTCTAATAGTTAAAAAATATTGGGCATACAGCTTTCCCCATATCTAAGCAGTCAGCGTTTCTATAAAAACACAGATTGCAGCACCCCATGGGGGTTGGGGGGGGGGGGTTGGCACTTTTAAGAACGTCACATCATTTGTAAGATTAGTTAAGTTTCAGGGGAAATGAGCTAGTTTATCTCTAGAGTAAAGCAGTATTTAATTGCGTGTGGTCTCAGGCTCAAACAAATCAATGCTCCTCAAACAGCAAACATTCAAATAAAGAAATCAAGGTGGATCAAATGATCTGCCTTGATTTAAGGCTTGATTAATTGTGGTTCAGGAAGGTTAAAGAATATTACTGAGATGAAGAATAGGGAGCCAGTTCCAATTTTGTGATTTCCAATCCAAGGGTTCTTTTTGCTGAAAATTAATGACTTAATAGATAAAAATTAAATCTGCCCAATTCTTAAAAAATGTGCTCACTTTAGCATCTCCCATGATTCAAAGGCCTCAGTATTCTCAGAGCAGCCAGCTCCTCCCTTCCCTGGGGTACTCACACTGGTGGAGGCAACTGCTTCCTGCACGCTCTCCATAATGAATTCCTTGGTGATCCTTCGAGAGGGCAGCTCATTGAAGAGGGAGTTGATTAGGGCCACCTTAGCTGCATCCCGCCTGGCCTCAGCTCTACTTAAGCAGCACTTGAGAAGGGAAGGAAAAGGGGAGTCATTAAAGAATTCAGCAGTTCACCATTTTGTCCCTACCTCAGTGGGTCTCTAGACATATCTGTTCATATACTGTCTGTACCTCTTCTTTCACACCCATTGCTAATCCCCCAAAGATCATACAGATTTTCTCTCAGCCCTAGAATCCATGCAAATGTCTTGGTTGGCCTTCAAATGCTGTTTTTGGTCTTATTTCATAGTCATTGAATGGCTACTATGCACCAGAGGCTTTACATACTGTTAATAAATAATCACAAAAGTCATAATGGCTACTTCTATGTGCCAGGTAATTATATTCATTACTAGAGGCCCAGTGCACGAATTCGTGCATGGGTGGGGTCTGGCTGGACTGCCCCAATTGGGGCCTGGCCAGGAAAGGGGATGCAGGAGGTTGGCCAGCTGGCCCCACCCTTGATGGGGGGAGGGGGGGGGAGGGTGATCAAGGGTGGGGCTGGCTGAGGGGAGGGGCTGCAGGAGGTTGGCCAGCTGGCCCCACCCCTCCAGTTGAACTCCGGTCAAACTCCAGGTCGAGGGGACAATTTGCATATTAAGCTTTTATTAGGTTCATTATAAGGGCCTTCCTGAAATCTTTATTTTGGAGAAAAATATGTAAGGAAAGAAGGAAACTGGGAAATAATTAAGGACAGAGGTTCTGGGGTCAGGCTGCTTGGCTTCAGGCACTTGCTAGCTGAAAGACCTTGGGCAAGTTAGTCTCTCTGTGACTCAAGTTCTGCCATCTATCAATGGGAATAATAGCAGTCCCTGCGGAATAGGTTTGAGAATAGCCTCAATCAGTTAATATAGGTAAAGTAGTGAGACTACCTTACACATGGTAACACTCTATGTCATAGAGTCTATGAGCACCTTCCAGTCTTATACTTTTTAACTCCAGGTTAGGACAAAGGGTCTGCTTTCAAAATCTATTGTTTTTGCTTTTCCAGCATTTATCTTTCCACCTTCCCTCTAATAACAATTCCTTGATTTTCTTGAGGGCCACCTTTTCCACCTTGGTTTCCGTCCACACAGTTTGTGTCAACATTTGACCTTCCTGAAGGTAGGGGCCATAGGCAGCCCACGATTAGTAACTCATGAAAAAAAAATATTCATTTCTCCCAAATGTAATATTGCTCTCCTTCTTTCCAGCCTGGCTTTCCTGTGGCTCACACAAACCTGCTCAATACATCCTGATTCTTTCCTGTTCTGTCTCTTTCCTTACCAACTACAACTCTTATCCCAGTTCTGGCTCGGCGTGGACCCTGGGAGTCCAGAGAGAGGGATGAAGTCCTGTGAGAGCTGCACTGTCCTCAGAGCCCACCCCTGTTGGAGGGCCCCAGAGTGTGATGGCCTCTCTCCCACAGTGTCTGTGAACTGTCCAGGGCCCTAGGCCCTCTGCCAAGACTCTTAGAGGGAAACAAGCCGGAAAGAGAAGCCCAGGCCCACGTCCTGGCCAACAGGGTGGCTGTGCACCACTCAGTGACGGTGAGACTGGGATGCCAGGCCTTTGGGGCTTATTTCCTAACTGAATAAATGGGGACGGTAGCCTCTTTGATTTTAAGGCTCCTGATACCTACAAGCATGATTCTCAGAATCAGTAGTGCTCGGTGACTGATGTGAAAGAACAGAGAAAGTAGCAAAGATCCCACTTCATGTTGCAGTTTCACAGCCTCAGTGGCTTGGTAGCACCACCGGGAAAAGGCCAAGTCCCTGTGGTTTGCTTGTAGCACATTGACCATCCCTGCACTGACCCAGGAACACTCCGAACTCACAGTAGTGTGTCATGTAAAGGCCCAGACTCTCCCCAACTCCACAAATCCAGATAAGCCTCCTGAGGTCAGGCCCTGGCCCCTCTGATTTCCTCCTAATGTGTCAGGACCCTAAAAGACAGAACGATTAAAAACAACACAAAGAGATTTCCAATATCACCTCTAAATAAAGAATTACTAGTAAGCTGAAGGTCTAAAATGTATGTGAAAAGGAGCTTGGGTTTTTCTCCAAAGAAGACTTTGGGGTAGCTTGAGGCAGTAAGCAAAGCCATTCAAGGTTTAGACCTCTCCCAAGGTGTAGGCCACCTGTATTAAATCGTGAGGCATGGCTTTGCAATATGGACTTGACTGGGAATTTATGGGACGTTGAGTTCTGAGTCAGCAGTATCTCAATGAAGCATGGGTGCCACCTCTTTTAGGAAGTCTTCCCTGATCACTCCGAAGGCGGGCTGGGAGGACCGCTGTCCATGAGAGGCACTCACACACTGTTACATAATTGCCTGCTAGTACCTGCCGCCAGACTCCAGGCTGCGAGCAACCTAAGGGCAGAGTCTGTGGCTAAGTCATCTTTAAGTCTCTGGACCTACAACACAGTTTATTGAATGAATAACTAAATGCTGCCTAGGAAATCTAAACACAAATCACTAGTGCACCTAATAAAATGATCAAGAAATCCTCTTAAAGAGGAAAATTAAAGGAAATCAGAGGGGCCAGGGCCTGACCTCAGGAGGCTTATCTGGATTTGTGGAGTTGGGGAGGAGAGTCTGGGCCTTTACATGACACACTACTGTGAGTTCGGAGTGTTCCTGGGTCAGTGCAGGGATGGTCAATGTGCTACAAGCAAATTAAAATTAAATTTACTATTTTTAAAAAATATATATTTTATTGATTTTTTACAGAGAGGAAGGGAGAGAGGGATAGAGAGTTAGAAACATCAATGAGCGAGAAACATCAATCAGCTGCCTCCTGCACACCCCTACTGGGGATGTGCCCACAACCAAGGTACATGCCCTTGACCAGAATGGAACCTGGGACCCTTCAGTCTGCAGGCCAACGCTCTATCCACTGAGCCAAACCGGCTAGGGCTATATTTACTATTTTTAAAAAGTCTCTTTAAAGATACCCTGTGTACTATGCATAATTCAGTAATGTAAAAATATATTAATATGTGAATTTCAGAGGGATAATTGGACATTAAGTTCAGACAGTTTGAGATTACCATTTTTGTCTGAGTATAGGATATGTTTATTATTCTTTGGAAAAGCAGTTCCTCATTAAAAAGCAGAGAAAGTTTCTGCAAATAGTACCTGACATCTATAGGGGCAGCTCATTTGAATAGGAATTTGCTTTCCAAAATCTATAATATTGCCATTGGGGTTTCAGAACTTAGATTCAGGCCTGGGCACTCTTAAGAAACTTTTTAGAACTATCTAAATAATAGCAATTGAAACCGTCCTTCACAGAGAGAGACCTGGTAAACACTATTTAGATGAAAGAAGCTATCTATTTTAAATAAGCCCCGCTAAGTACCAGATCAAAGGCACCACATACACTTACTAGTTCAACCAAATGGCACTGCTTCTGAGATCAAAGTGCTGCGGGGCTGAGGGAAGGATGGAGCCTTTACCCAGAAAGCACGGGAAAGAACTAGGTCTAGGAGACCGCAGCAATAGCAAGGTTTTAAGTGGACACATGTCTTTACTTATTTCATTGTTGCAATGTACAGAATCTTCGGTTGAAATGGGGGAGAAAGTGTACCAATTAATAATAAGCGCATACAATAAGTTCTGAGCCATCAAAGGGCTTTTCTTACAATGGTTCTTTGCATTTCTGAAAGACAAGTACTTCAAAATGTTTATAATGTTAACCAGCCGCTTTCTTCTAAGTTTTGGAGCTAGAGCTACAAATTCAAGTCAGTCAAGGCCGCATATTTTCTTTAGGGATCTTTTAATGGGGCCTCTCGAACCTGAAGGACCTGTGTGTGGGCAGGACATTTAGCCAAAAGCAATCTGCTTGGCAAATCGGAATCAGAGTGTGGATTCTGCTGAGAGAACAGGCACGGTTAGCGTTACCATCAAACACGGGGAAGAGCTGCAAGAAAATAACATACAGTAAGTGACAGAACATTTTATTGACGTGTCCAAACCGGTCATCAAAGACATCAGCTGGAGAGTGAGCGAAGCATGGGGTTATTTCAAAGCAACTTCCTGCTAGAATTAGACTTCCCAGATCGTATGGTTTATTCTGTTTTCAGCCAGACCCCAATCATAAATACAGATTTGCAAACCGTGCCTTATCTGCTAACCTTTCTTACTTGTTAATAGAGAGAGACAACTTCTGTCCTTTGCACTTTGTGAAAGTGCAGAGCTGGAATATCTAATAGCCGGGATTTTACTGAAGTCAGCTGTGGATTTCTTAGGCATGTGGAACCACATGCTTTTCAAGTGGCTAGCAGACCTCACTCAGACATTTATCTTGATGCTCAGATGCCTTTCATTTGCTGGTAGATTATAAACCACTGTAATCATTTCAAAGCCTCCTGGCTCTAATCTAAAATTAAAGCAAAAAAAGCACGTCTGTGGTATTGCTAAGGAAAACTATGTAAGGCAGTGGTAGCCAGCCTCTGAGAGAGGTCCCCCTTCCCCCCGGGATCTCTGCCTCCTGGTATTCACACCCTCGTGCAAGCCCCTCTCACGCTGTATTCTACCAGTAGAATATGGCAGAAGGTACAGCATGTCACTTTTGATATTAAGTTGTAAAAGCCACAGTGGCTTCTGTCTTGATGACACTTATTCTCTCTTGGAGCACTTGCTCTGGGGAAGTCACTTCCATGCTGTGAGCAGTGCTACAGGAAGGCAAACGTGGTAAGGAGCCCATGCCTCTGGAAACAGATCCTCCAGGCCCCATCAAGCCTCAGGTGACTATAGCTCCCTGACCGCTAATTGCAGCCTCCAGGAGACCCTGAGCCAGAACTTCCAGATTCCTGATCCTCAGAAACAGTGTGAGGTAACTTGAGTTTTGAGGCAATTTGTTACCCAGCCGTAGATGACTAATACAAAGGCTTTGCTCACGTCAGGTAATAAGGAAGTCTCTAAGCCAGTGGTTCTCAACCTTCTGGCCCTTTAAATACAGTTCCTCATATTGTAACCCAACCATAAAATTATTTTTTGTTGCTACTTCATAACTGTAATGTTGCAACTGTTATGAATCATA